TACAGGGTAACAAGGGATGGCATGTTGGTTACAGGGCAACAAGGGATGGCATGTTGGTTACAGGGCAACAAGGGATGGCATGTTGGTTACAGGGCAACAAGGGATGGCATGTTGGTTACAGGGCAACAAGGGATGGCATGTTGGTTACAGGGCAACAAGGGATGGCATGTTGGTTACAGGGCAACAAGGGATGGCATGTTGGTTACAGGGTAACAAGGGATGGCATGTTGGTTACAGGGTAACAAGGGATGCCATGTTGGTTACAGGGCAACAAGGGATGGCATGTTGGTTACAGGGTAACAAGGGATGGCATTTTGGTTACAGGGCAACAAGGGATGCCATGTTGGTTATAGGGCAACAGGGGATGGCATATTGGTTACAGGGTAACAACGGATGGCATGTTGGTTACAGGGTAACAAGGGATGGCATGTTGGTTACAGGGCAACAGGGGATGGCATGTTGGTTACAGGGCAACAAGGGATGGCATGTTGGTTACAGGGCAACAAGGATGGCATGTTGGTTACAGGGCAACAAGGGATGGGATGTTGGTTACAGGGTAACAAGGGATGGCATGTTGGTTACAGGGCAACAAGGGATGGCATGTTGGTTATAGGGCAACAAGGGATGGCATGTTGGTTACAAGGGAAAAAGGGATGGCATGTTGGTTACAGGGCAACAAGGGATGGCATGTTGGTTACAGGGCAACAAGGGATGGCATGTTAGTTACAGGGCAACAAGGGATGGCATGTTGGTTACAGGGCAACAAGGGATGGCATGTTGGTTACCGGGTAACAAGGGATGGCATGTTGGTTACAGGGCAACAAGGGATGGCATGTTGGTTACAGGGTAACAAGGGATGGCATGTTGGTTACAGGGCAACAAGGGATGGCATGTTGGTTACAGGGTAACAAGGGATGGCATGTTGGTTACAGGGCAACAAGGGATGCATGTTGGTTACAGGGCAACAAGGGATGGCATGTTGGTTACAGGGTAACAAGGGATGGCATGTTGTTTACAGGGCAACAAGGGATGCCATGTTGGTTATAGGTCAACAGGGGATGGCATGTTGGTTACAGGGTAACAAGGGATGGCATGTTGGTTACAGGGCAACAAGGGATGGCATGTTGGTTACAGGGCAACAAAGGATGGCATGGCATGTTGGTTATAGGGTAACAAGGGATGGCATGTTGGTTACAGGGTAACAAGGGATGGCATGTTGGTTACAGGGCAACAAGGGATGGCATGTTGGTTACAGGGCAACAAGGGATGGGATGTTGGTTACAGGGTAACAAGGGATGGCATATTGGTTAGGTACAGGGTAACAAGGGATGGCATGTTGGTTACAGGGCAACAAGGGATGGCATGTTGGTTATAGGGCAACAAGGGATGGCATGTTGGTTACAGGGCAACAAGGGATGGCATGTTGGTTACAGGGCAACAAGGATGGCATGTTGGTACAGGGCAACAAGGGATGGCATGTTGGTTACAGGGCAACATGGATGGCATGTGTGTTACAGGGCAACAAGGGATGGCATATTGGTTACAGGGCAACAATGGATGGCATGTTGGTTACAGGGCAACAAGGATGGCATGTTGGGTACAGGGCAACAAGGGATGGCATGTTGGTTACAGGGTACACAAGGGATGGCAGGTTGGTTACAGGGTAACAAGGATCGAGTTACAGAGTAATAAGGGATTGGCATGTTGGTTACAGGGCAACAAGGGGATGCCATGTTGGTTATAGGGCAACAGGGGATGGCATGTTGGTTACAGGGCAACAAGGTGATGGCATAGTGGTTACAGGGCAACAAGGGATGGCATGTTGGTTACAAGGGAAAAAGGGAATGGCATTGTGGTTACAGGGCAACAAGGGATGGCATGTTGGTTACAGGGCAACAAGGGATGGCATGTTAGTTACAGGGCAACAAGGGATGGCATGTTGGTTACAGGGCAAAAGGGATGGCATGTTGGTTACAGGGCAACAAGGGATGGCATGTGGTTTACAGGGTAACAAGGGATGGCATGTTGGTTACAGGGCAACAAGGGATGGCATGTTGGTTACAGGGCAACAAGGGATGGCATGTTGGTTACAGGGTAACAAGGGATGGCATGTTTGGTTACAGGGCAACAAGGGATGCCATGTTGGTTATAGGTCAACAGGGGATGGCATATTGGTTACAGGGTAACAAGGGATTGGCATGTTGGTTACAGGGCACAAGGGATGCATGTTGGTTACAGGCAACAAAGGATGGCATGGCATGTTGGTTATAGGGTAACAAGGGATGGCATGTTGGTTACAGGGTAACAAGGGATGGCATGTTGGTTACAGGGCAACAAGGGATGGCATGTTGGTTACAGGGCAACAAGGGATGGGATGTTGGTTACAGGGGTAACAAGGGATGGCATATTGGTTACAGGGTAACAAGGGATGGCATGTTGGTTACAGGGCAACAAGGGATGGCATGTTGGTTATAGGGCAACAAGGGATGGCATGTTGGTTACAGGGCAACAAGGGATGGCATGTTGGTTACAGGGCAACAAGGGATGGCATGTTGGTTACAGGGCAACAAGGGATGGCATGTTGGATACAGGGCAACAAGGGATGGCATGTTGGTTACAGGGCAACAAGGGATGGCATATTGGTTACAGGGCAACAAGGGATGGCATGTTGGTTACAGGGCAACAAGGGATGGCATGTTGGTTACAGGGCAACAAGGGATGGCATGTTGGTTACAGGGTAACAAGGGATGGCATGTTGGTTACAGGGTAACAAGGGATCGGTTACAGAGTAATAAGGGATGGCATGTTGGTTACAGGGCAACAAGGGATGCCATGTTGGTTATAGGGCAACAGGGGATGGCATGTTGGTTACAGGGCAACAAGGGATGGCATGTTGGTTACAGGGCAACAAGGGATGGCATGTTGGTTACAGGGTAACAAGGGATGGGATGTTGGTTACAGGGTAACAAGGGATGGCATGTTGGTTACAGGGCAACAAGGGATGGCATGTTGGTTACAGGGCAACAAGGAATGGCATGTTGGTTACAGGGCAACAAGGGATGGCATGTTGGTTACAGGGCAACAAGGGATGGCATGTTGGTTATAGGGTAACAAGGGATGGCATGTTGGTTACAGGGCAACAAGGGATGGCATGTTGGTTACAGGGCAACAAGGGATGGCATGTTGGTTACAGGGCAACAAGGGATGGCATGTTGGTTACAGGGTAACAAGGGATGGCATGTTGGTTACAGGGCAACAAGGGATGCCATGTTCGTTACAGGGCAACAAGGGATGCCATGTTGGTTACAGGGCAACAAGGGATGGCATGTTGGTTACAGGGCAACAAGGGATGGGATGTTGGTTATAGGGTAACAAGGGATGGCATGTTGGTTACAGGGCAACAAGGGATGGCATGTTGGTTACAGGGCAACAAAGGGTGGCATGTTGGTTACAGGGCAACAAGGGATGGCATGTTGGTTACAGGGCAACAAGGGATGGCATGTTGGTTACAGGGTAACAAGGGATGGCATGTTGGTTACAGGGTAACAAGGGATGCCATGTTGGTTACTGGGCAACAAGGGATGCCATGTTGGTTACAGGGCAACAAGGGATGGCATGTTGGTACAGGGCAACAAGGGATGGCATTGTGGTTACAGGGTTACAAGGGATGGCATATTGGTACAGGGTAACAAGGGATGCCATGTTGGTTACAGGGCAACAGGGATGGCATGTTGGTTACAGGGCAACAAGGGATGGCATGTTGGTTACAGGGCAACAAGGGATGGCATGTTGGTTACAGGGCAACAAGGGATGGCATGTTGGTACAGGTCAACAGGGATGGCATGTTGGTTACAGGGTAACAAGGGATGGCATGTTGGTTACAGGGTAACAAGGGATGGCATGTGGTTACAGGGCAACAAGGGATGGCATGTTGGTTACAGGGCAACAAGGGATGGCATGTTGGTTACAGGGCAACAAGGGATGGCATGTTGGTTACAGGGCAACAAGGGATGGCATGTTGGTTACAGGGTAACAAGGGATGGCATGTTGGTTACAGGGTAACAAGGGATGGCATGTTTGGTTACGGGGCAACAAGGGATGGCATGTGGTTACAGGGCAACAAGGGATGCATGTTGGTTTAACAGGGGCAACAAGGGATGGTATGTTGGTTACAGGGCAACAAGGGATGGCATGTTGTTTACAGGGTATCAAGGGATGGCATGTTGTTACAGGGCAACAAGGGATGGCATGTTCGTTACAGGGCAACAAGGGATGGCATGTTGGTTACAGGGCAACAAGGGATGGCATGTTGGTTACAGGCAACAAGGATGGCATGTTGGTTACAGGGCAAACAAGGGATGGCATGTTGGTTACAGGGTAACAAGGGATGGCATGTTGGTTACAGGGCAACAAGGGATGGCATGTTGGTTACAGGGCAACAAGGGATGGCATGTTGGTTACAGGGCAACAAGGGATGGCATGTTTGTTACAGGGTAACAAGGGATGGCATGTTGGTTACAGGGCAACAAGGGATGGCATGTTGGTTACAGGGCAACATTGGTTACATGGTAACAACCCATGGCATGTTGACAATGACGTCGAAAATAGGGCCCGAGAAATTGTTGCTGCTTAGATATCTACATGCGTGCAACAAACACACACACACACACACACACACACACACACACACACACACACAAATACACAGCACACATACACACACACATACACACACACATACATGCACGCACACACAGATGCACACATACACAAACACACACACACATGCACACACACACGTACACACACACACACACACACACACACACGCATGCGCACGCACGCAAAAAGGCACAAACCAGACCGCCACCCCTCACATGCGGTGTTAGTGACATGCCACCCGCACGAGCATACAGAGAGATCACAGAAGGATAACACTAAGGTCTCCTCAGCTCAAAGTCCCAAAAGGGGGCAGTGCGCCTCACTGGGGGCAGTGCGCCTCACAGGGGGTAGTGCGCCTCACAGGGGGCAGTGCGCCTCACAGGGGGCAGTGCGCCTCTCAGGGGGCAGTGCGCCTCACAGGGGGCAGTGCGCCTCACGGGGGGCAGAGCGCCTCACAGGGGGCAGTGCGCCTCACAGGGGGCAGTGCGCCTCACAGGGGGCAGTGCGCCTCACAGGGGGCAGTGCGCCTCACAGGGGGCAGTGCGCCTCACAGGGGGCAGCGCGCCTCACAGGGGGCAGTGCGCCTCACAGGGGGCAGCGCGCCTCACAGGGGGCAGCGCGCCTCACAGGGGGCAGCGCGCCTCACAGGGGGCAGCGCGCCTCACAGGGGGAAGCGCGCCTCACACCTCACAGGGTGTTGAGGCGGACGAGGGTGGAGAGGGTAGAAGGCAAAAGGTCCGAACATTTGATTCTGGCGCACATCACTGCACCGCAAGCGTGGGGCACAAGAGGAGGGGGTGGGAGGGGAGGGGAATAGAGAGTGGGGGATGTGGTGGGTATTGGGAGGTGGGTGGGAGAGCATTGGAGTGGGGAGGAAGAGGTCCGGACAATTAGTTCTAGTGCACATCACTGCACCGTTGTGCACAAGAGGAGGGGGTGGGAGGGAAGAGGGGTAGGGGAGTGGGCGAGGGGAGAGGGCCGGACAGTTTGGTTCAGGTGCACATCACTGCACAAGAGGTGCACATCACTGCACAAGAGGTGCACATCACTGCACAAGAGGTGCACATCACTGCACAAGAGGTGCACATCACTGCACAAGAGGTGCACATCACTGCACAAGAGGTGCACATCACTGCACAAGAGGTGCACATCACTGCACAAGAGGTGCACATCACTGCACCGCACGCATCGGGCACAAGAGGAGCGGGTGAGAGGGGGGAGGAATAGGGGAGGATGAGGTAGTGGGTGTTGGGACGTGGTGGGTGGGTCCAAACACTTTTGGTGCACATCACTGCACGCGTCGGGCACAAGAGGAGGGGCTCAAGGGAGGAGGGGTAGGGAGTTGGAGAGTGGAAAGGGCGGGTGGCAGAGGTCCGGACAGCTGGTTCTGGTGCACATCACTGCACGCGTCAGGCATAAGAGGAGGGGCCCAAGGGGAAGAGGTGGTACGGTGGAACGTGGGCGGAGTGAGAGGGCAGAGCATGAGAGTGAGAAATCAAAGAAGATGGGTGGAGAGTGGTGACGGGTGGAGAGTGGTGACGGGTGGAGAGTGGTGACAAGTGGAGAGTGGTGACGGGTTGAGTGGTGACGGGTGGAGGAGTGCACAAGAGGACGAGGTGGGAGGGGGTGGGACGGGGGACGGGTGGGGAGGGGGGGGTGTGGTGGTGGTATTGGGAGGTGAGAGAGCATGAGAGTGAGGAGGCAACGGAGTGAGTGACTGGTGGAGGGTGATGGGTGGAGTGGAGAGCGAGGTGGGTTGGGTGAAGGGGGGTTGCAGGGCGACAAACAGTGAGTGGAGGCGAATGAGGGGAGAGGAGGCGACTGAGAGGGAGAGGAGGCGACTGACAGGGAGTGGAGGTGCGAGAGGGAGGAGATGGGGATGGGCATGGAGACGGCTGACAGTGAGTAAGTGACTGACAGTGAGTGGAGACAGCTGACAGTGAGTAACTGACTGACAGTGAGTGGAGACGGCTGACAGTGAGTAACTGACAGACAGTGAGTGGAGACGGCTGACAGTGAGTAACTGACTGACAGTGAGTGGAGACGGCTGACAGTAACTGACTGGCAGTGATTGGAGACGGCTGACAGGGAGAGGAGGTGGGGCAACTGACAGGGATTGAAGGCGCGAGAGGGCGGAGAGGGCAACAGGCAAGCGGCCGTTGAGGCCCCTGTTGGACACGTCTCTGCTCACCCAAAGAAAGAGAGCGGGGTGGAGAGGTGGGGACGGGCGGTGGGAGGGGAGGGATGAGTGAGCACGAGAACAAGAAACACGAGAGTGTTCGCATGTTGACACAGCATGCATGCATTACATGTTGACGCGGCATGCATGTTGACGCGGCATGCATGTTGACGCGGCATGCATGTTGACGCGGCATGCATGTTGACACGGCATGCATGCGGCAGCGGCAACACAATGCATCTGTCCATGGCAAGCCTGTGCTCGACTCTTATACATGTGATGCCCTGCGCCTGCCTGCACTCCACGTCCTCCACTCAACCCGTCGCGCTCAACTCCCCGAGTGCATCATGAATACCCTGATACTCGATTCCGCACTCACATGGACGTCACCATGCTGTCCCCGTCACATGTGATGCCCTGTGCCTGAGTGCACTCCGGGCCCACCCTGTCGCGCTCATTCCCCCCCCCCCATCCCCCCTCGCGCTCATCCCCCCCACCCCCTCCCACTCACAGCGCCGTCACCATGCCGTCACTGTCGCATGTGATGCCCTGTGCCGGCGCGCACTCCATGCCCCGCGCCCACCTTGACGCTGCATTGACGCTCATCCCCCACTCCACCGCACACTCCTTCAGCGCCGCCACTGCGAGAGGTGCAGTGAGAGAGATACGCGCAGGCAGTGAGGGAGATACGCGCAGGCAGTGAGGGAGATACACGGTATGCACTCTTGTTGTGAAAAATACTACACAATCCTTCAGCGCCGCCACTGCGCGAGGTGCAGTGAGGGAGCTCAGTTTTTGCGTTTTAATCGTTGTAGTGGACTTAGAGCTCAGTTTCGATCTTGTTTTTTGAGCTGGCAACACAAGAGTTTTAACTCTACTGTTTTTCTTCTGCTAAAGAATTCTCCTAAGCTGCAGCTCGCCTAGTCTCATGGCTGCCGCCACTGGGCGAGGTGCAGTGAGGGAGATACATGGTATGCACGTTTGTAGTGAACTACGCACGGTAGAAATACTAATCTCATCCCCCACTCTACCGCACACTCCTTCAGCGCCGCCACAGCGCGCAGTGAGGGATATACGTGTGCGCAGGCACGAGCGCGCAGTGAGGGAGGCGAGGTGCAGTGGACAGCGGGAATTCGGGACTTGGGAGGAGAGAGGGGGAGGGGGAGGGAGAGGGGGGAGGAGAGGAAGAGGGGATGGACGTCAATGCAAGAGTTCAGTTCTGCGCAAAACTGAAGTACAGCACAAGCTGGAGGGAAGGCCAGCGGGACAGCAGGCTCCAGTGCAAATCGTTAGCTCCGTGGTAGATGGAGAAGGGAGAGGAAAAGGGTGAGGGAGAGGGAGAGCGATTCTTGACACCCTCAGAAGCAGAAACTCGCCTCTGCAAGGGCTGTGCTCTGGAAGGGCTGTGCTCTGGAAGGGCTGTGCTCTGGAAGGGCTAGCAGAGCACAGGCGGATGACTAACAGAGCAGGCTCTTCAGCTCCAGAGGGCCCCCATCCTCCAGCCCCTCACTCCGCTGTGCCTACGTGGCTGGAGGCTGTGCCTACGTGGCGATGACTACCTCTGCTCCCCACAGCGGATGACTAGCGGAGCAGGCTCCTCAGCTCCAGAGGAGGCCCAAGTCCTGGGGAGCCCCTCACTCCGGCTCAGGCCGCCAAGCATCCAAGCCAAAGCATCACCGGCCCGCGCACCCCATGGGAAGGGACTACCCGCCCACAGCGGCCACTCTGGCCCCTCTCCCCACTCTGGCCCCTCTCCCCACGCCCTCCCATGCACCTGACCTGTCATTACACTCTGCTCTTGTGGCAAATTGTTAACTACCCGAGGCGCCTCAAAACTACCCGATCGGCCCCCACCCAGGCACTTCCTGTTATTGCTGGACCCCCCTGGTGCAGGTCATGGTCATTCCTGCCTGCCCTGGCTGTATCCCATTATTTTGTGAAAGTGACTCCGTTCGATGGCGAGGGGAAATGGGCGAGGGGAGGAGGTACTATGCGAGGATGGCAGGGGACGCCACCAAGGCGCGAGACTTGTCTTCCACTGGCTATGCCCCACTCTATTTTGTGAAAATGATGCTGGAGGGGGTTTTTTTGAGAATTCTCAAAAAAACTCCACTGGCTATGCCCCACTCTATTTTGTGAAAATGACTCCGTCCGAGAGGGGAAGAGGGCGAGGGGAGGAGGTACTACGCGAGGATGGCAGGGGACGCCACCAACGCGCGAGATCAGCGCGAGCGCAGCGCGAGAGCAGCGCGAGATCAGCGCGAGCGCAGCGCGGGAGCAGCGCGAGATCAGCGCGAGCGCAGCGCGAGAGCAGCGCGGAGCAGCGGGGGAGCAGCGCGAGAGCAGCTCGAGAGCAGCGCGAGAGCAGCTCGAGAGCAGCGCGAGAGCAGCGCGAGAGCAGCGCGAGCGCAGCGAGGGAGCAGCGCGAGCGCAGCGAGGGAGCAGCGCGAGCGCAGCGCGATCGCAGCGGGACCGAGAGCAGTGCGAGGGCGCGGGAGCAGCGCGAGAGCAGCGCGTGCGCAACGAGAGAGCAGCCCGAGAGCAAGCGCGAAGGAAGGGTTCGTCGTTACAATGCGGTAACTGTCACGAGTACTAATGGAAGTCGCGCGAGTAGAGCGGAATAGAGGAGGGAGCGTGACTTGCTGCTGGTCGAGAGTAGTAAAAGCTACGTCTTGCGAGCGTGGCGCACCTTGGGAGTCGGCGAGAGTCACGGGCTGCACGACACGTGGCAGGAGACTGGCGACGACCGCCGCTACTAGCCAGGGAAGGGCTGCGGCAACGATCTGCGATCGCGAGGTCCGCCTCGCGCGGCCCGTCATGGACGGCGAGCGGGTGTTGAAACGCCACGCGTCAACGTGAGAGCAACAACTGTTTTGCTCAGTAGCGGGGGATCAGGGTAACGGCGTCCACCCGCTGGCCACGAGCAAAACGACGAAACCATGGCTGGGCACTCGGCCGCTCACCCGAATCGGCTTTCGGCGGCCGAGCCTTGGCCCCGAGGCGTGGCTGAATGGCCCAAAACCAAGTTAGCCGGGCCTCTCTGACGCAGCAATCACGCCACTCTGACGTGGCCCGGGCCACACTGACGCGGCTAGGTGGGGACCTTGGGACCGAACCGCCGAGCAGGTTCGGGAAAGGGCCCCATCGCGCGAACCACGTCTAGTTACCCGTATTACTCATATGTTTGCTCGCGAAAGTCGTTTCGTATGTGTTTCATGCTACTTCAACATTTTCCAATAGCGAGGTAGAAAATCACCCCGACACTATTTGTGTATGGCATGGCCTCTAGTTAGTGGCACTCTCCATTGTACCTATCGCTCTTATCGCGTACGGTAGCTTGTTGTCGGCCTTGTGACTGTTTCCCTCTATGGTTGATGCAAACTGGCGCCAATAAGGGCGTATTCCAGCACTTCGGGTCATCAGCACTTCGGGTCATCCGAGATTGTGGGATCCAATCGGAAAATCGGAATGCACCCCAATCTCTTGATTCCGAATTTCCGATTGGATCCCACAATTTCGGATGGCCCGAAGTGCTGATGACCCGAAGTGCAGGAATACGCCCTAATTGTGAGGCTTGATCGCCTTCCTGCGAACTTGGGACAGGACAGCCCCCAAAAGTACAACTATCTGGGTCCAGCGTGGCAGATTTCACGTTGCTTCCACGCTGCTTTCACACTCTCACCTACTCTCCAGTGTAGGATCAAAATTTCCTGCACGACTCCATCTACGATCTGTGATCGCATCTCAAACCTAGTTGGTCAAGCCCAACCGTCCGATCATGAGGGGTGTTCGCACGTTGGGGACCTCTGAACAATTGCGACGTCCAGATTCGTTCCCCCTCCACCTCATCATCCTACCCAATCTCTTACACCCGCGGAATGCACTTTTCGCTGTCCCCACTTCAATGTCCGGACACCCCATGAAGGCGATCTATATTCCTGGTCTTCATGCTGCTGAGAGATTTGCTCCAAACCCTTGTTTAAGGATTCGTTGATGCACACGTGGCCACCATTTGCTCGAGTGGTTCTCGAATTCAGTGATAATTGCTCGAGTGGCCTCGCCAGGGGATTCTCAACGTCTTTTTTTTTAGAATGAACATTACCCTTCAGGGGTATCTATCCTCGAAACTTCTGTATTGGTTATTGCGCGATCTTATATATCTGAAATATATGTTCGTGACCCTATATGACCGCGCCTGATTGGACGCT